TGGTGGAGATTACGGATGAGAATACAGGTCCCTAGCAACCGATGCTGGTCATAAATAGACCGGGTGGTCAGGCTCAGTGACTTGGTTGACTGCCTGTCATTGTATCTCAATGGCACGGATCAATGCTCATGATATCAATGACTATATTGTCTGGTCCAGACTCTAATATTTACAGACTACATTGTGTATCATCAATTGCTGGAATATTACTGAATATGGAGTTAAACACTAACCAACAAACCGATATAAACTGGTGGGTTTGTTGCAATAATTAAAATAACTTTTAAGCGGTAAGGTTATGACATATTTGTATCAAAACACCATCTGGACACAACTTGCTATTTTCCAAATCTCAAATATGAGTGAGTGAGTGAGTGAGTTGGGTTTAACGCCGCTTTAAACAGTATTCCAGTCATATTGCGGCGTGTCAGCATAATGTGGGAGGAAAGCCCGAAGAGATGCAGGTCTCAGACGTTTACCACTTTGGTGAAACCCACGAGCACGGGCATGGTGCTGACAAACCTAGAAACATAAATGGGGCAATCCGGGATTCGAACCCACAATCTGGCGTGCCCAAGGGACGCAACTCTGCACAGCGAATCACGGCGCCTTAGACTACTGGGCCACCCGTGCCCCCTCTCAAATATGAATTTACCAGTATGCAAAATGAAATACCTTGACAGAAATAAGCAATGATCATACGACAACACTGGCCTCATTCTCTTAACCTGAAGATAAAACGTTAACCTCAAATGTGCCTCTGTTCACCCAGTGAGTGTGAGTGAGGGAGTATAGTTTTTACGCCGCTTTTAGCAATATTGCAGCTAAGGGGACGCCAGAAATGGGCTCTGTTCATCCAGCAGGGAATTGGTACCCAATATGCGATAGTGCCGCAGTTTGGATTGTATACTCCCCAGGGAGTTGAGAATGATAACTGGAATACATACATAGCCACAAGTCAGGGGACAAATAAACCACATTTGAGCAGATAATAATAGCAGGATAGGTGAGGAATATAAATGTATTTAAAAATAAAAATATTAAACCAAAAATAAAGACCATTTTAAGAGGCACCTGACTTCTTAGAGGAAACATGGTAGGCCATGTAATATTCTTACGCTTTAAGAATGATTTGTAGTACATGAGCTGTTGCTGTCTCCGATGAATAAATAATGGAGAACGGCATTCTGTGTTCCGTCTTATATTTATTGTCATACATACACGGGTGGTACATCCGGTAAAACAGGGGGCCCCTGACGGCTAGGTCGCCAAGGGAGATTACTCTCATACGTTATACACCATCACAGCCGCTAATGGCATAATGCAGTACGATAACAGTACAGGCGTTTCATGCTTGACACCTCAACAAGAAGAGAAATAGCTCTTGCCTTCATGCTGCACACACAATCACCACTGGGAACAGCCATTTCTGTGTCTATTGTCATTTCCTGGCAGAGATTCCTTAGTAGAAGATATTACAGCCCACTCAACATTCACGACATGCAACACAGGAATAACATAATGCTAACGGAATGTAAACAAGCTGCTCCATCATCACAGTGCACAACCTCATTCAGTCTTGCACACAGAGAAGTGCTCTCATCAAGGAGACAGAGGCTCAGGCCACACATTTTTTATTTTTCGTTTCACGGCCCGGCTGCCCCTACTGAAAACAGCTAGATAAGAAATGAATTAAACATAAACATATTTAATTTTATTATGTCTCCCACTAGTAATATAGAACCTCTTGTACAATATAAACATGTATATATAAATTCCATGTCTACATCACTATCAGTGATTCAAGAAGCCAGCTGCAACTTTAACATCCAAGTAGAATTACTTTCATGGCAATAAATCAATGATTGTCGTAGCTATTTATTTTTATGCTTATTTCCATCAACCTTGGATGGTAAAACTGGAATAAATCCATGAAACATAAAATAAAACAAATGTGGCCTCAGGGTTGTACTGGATGCTCAAAGCTGTGGTCTACATTCATACTAATTACAAATGAGATGCAAGAAGTTTCATTGCAAGCACTGGTACACACACAATATATATATATATGGCCAATGGTTCATTTTCTGAATCTACCATTGAAATCCCCTTCCTTCAAGTAATGAAAGCAGTGATATGGTCGAGTGAAGTGTGCAAAGTGTGGCCAGCCTGGAACACCAATGTTCGTTCTTTGGACTGCCCACAAATGTTACCGAGTCCCATGTACTCGCAAACAGATGGACAGCGGTAGCCTCGTCCTTGTTTGGAGGCCTTGACCGACTCACAAGTCCTTGCTGACCATCCATGTCCCAGATTGACGATGCATGTCAGGGAAGAGTTTCGACACCTCCACATCACCACAACAAAGACAGTAACTTGTGGGCTTTTCCTTACTTCTATTGATTTTCTGCTCAACAAATGTTTGTTCTGCAAATACACTATACATTCGGCAGCCTCCTGTCTTGTTGTCTTCACACTGTCAGGCACATATTTATTGATTTTTATTGAAGTTAAATCAAGGACCTGGATCATATGACTATATTTGTCTTTGTTGGGAACATATTTCCCTGTAGGTAACCAACCATAGGGGTATGAATTTCAGTGCTTTCATAATCATGTAATCTGCCAGTTGGTTCATACATGCTTAAGACAAATGTGTGCGTTTGAGTCAAGTGCCCTTATAATGATGAAACTTAGGCTAAAAAGAATAATAGTCTTGGTTCTCAGGCACCGCTAACATCATAAAAAAGTTTGCCACATGTTTCGTTTTTATTTCCATTTAAAAAAAAATAAAATCAATAAATATTCCAAGCTCAACTGTAGTCAAATAGTGTATTCCAGTATTATTTTTATCAAGGAATACATTATGTAGGGAGGCCGTTTCCCAGGTTGATTGTACACAATTGTTTAATAGGTTACATACTAGTATGAATAACCAAAATAGAATAAAACAACACCACCCGTCTAAATTTTCAGAAGCCATTGCCTGAGAACCAATTCTTTTATTTTGTTAAGCCTTAGCAACTTCTATATATATATAACAACGAGTAAGTAAGCAGGGCTAGAAATAAAAGTAGAATATATATTCAGGAAGCATTGTCCACATTTCAACAATAAAATTCACTCATGCCAACCATATATTCAATCTTATACAATCACAGACTAAATTTACGGTTTAAGTTCTATTATAGAATTCAGTGCCAAACTACTGCACGATATTCCATTGAACATGGTGTTAACTGACAGGTTAACAAGCTTCCCTCTTGACAATCAGCTAAGTCAAACAAGTGTCAGTTGCAGAAAAATGTTAGCACATATTTATCAGAAAGTAAACTATTCAGTTTGCCTTTTAATTTCAAACAATGGCGAGAAGATCTTGTTGAGTGCCATGGTCAGCAATCAGCTTTGAAAGGGAGTTTGTCACTGAACAATTCTGCGATTCTCCAGAAAATTACAGAATTCTTACTCGTACAAGATGTGTGTTCTTCAATATTAATGGATGACTCTTCTCATCAATATACTCTAATACAGATCATTTTGCTGACATGTAGACAGATTCTAAAACATTCTCCAAAAGATGATGCAAAACTTGCTAATGCAGCAATATTAACCACAATCATACTGGGAATACCTACACATTACAAACCCATGCTACAACTTCCCTGCCATGTTCTTCTTCAGAGAATGATAACCAGTGAAATGTCAAAGCTGTGTATCATCAGACTTTGAGATTTTTTAAAGTCTAGGATTGAAATGCATGCATTACAAGACTTGTTCAATATCAAATGGACAGCTTAGAATTTTTGAATTTGAGCCGAGGTTTCAAAACATGTTTTTCGTAATAAAATTTTACCGAATACATTTTTTAAGTCGTCTTCATAATTTGAAGAGCTTTGACAGGATCAGACAAGGCAGCCTGGGAACCACATGATTAGGGAAGCTGATACTTTGTCAGCTCAGTACTTTAACATGATTGATACTTAAAATCTGCCTCTTACTACAAGTAAATTCATCTTTTACAGCAAGCATGGGTTGCTGAAGACCTATCCTACCCCGGATCTTCACAGGTTGCACCCCTACTATTCATATTGATGCTGCCCAGTTTGTTGTTCCTGCTGTATTGTTTAAAGATGTCAGGCTGGAAGACCTAATTCAACAGATGACCTAAATACATCCTAGTCCATAATCCATTTCTCCCATGACACCTGTGTCATCAGTACCTGTTATGAATCTTGTTCAGAAAAATCTAGTGATGCCAACAATAGCATGATAACATAAGTTCTGGTAATGGTATATGTTAATAAAATACATATAAATTAACATTATTGTTGAAGTGCTAATCAGCCACAGACAAATTGCCTACTGTTGACATTGACTGACATAATTCTGTATTGACCCTGTTTATTTCAACAATTATTATATCCCTTTTAACAGTGAAAGAAATTATGGTTGAAGTCATTTATCTAGGGGCGGTCGGGTAGCCTAGTGGTAGCCTAGTGGTTAAAGCGTTCACTCGTCACGCCGAAGACCCGGGTTCGATTCCCGACATGGGTACAATGTGTGAAGCCCATTTGTGGAGTCCCCTGCCGTGATATTGCTGAAATATTGCTAAAAGCGGCGTAAAACCATACTCACTCACTCACTATCTAGCACTATGATTGATGAGCTTTGAATTCAACTCTTATTAAATTATATTGATAATGCAAAATATATTTTTCCTGAAAATGAATAATCTGTATCGAAGGGGAATTAACTTCTTAATTAGAATAACATTCTCTGGAAACAAGCGTTGATTAAGACACTTCCCTGATTCTCTTCTCCGCTACTGACCACCATGCGCAGTGGCGACAGTAAATGCTGTATTTTGGCGAAAATGTGGTATTTAATTATCGAATGTGTTCGGTTGCCGATGCTTTTAGTTCAAATAGCGGCTGTGTGGTGATTCCAATGCGAAACCACTGTTACAACAGTGGACAAGGGGGACAAGGGGGACAACTCACACTCTGCGGGATTGTTCCATCAGCTCCATCCACTTGCTCCTCTCATAGTCACTCTCCAGCGCCAGCACCAGTTGACCCTGTGGGGACACAAGCAGGTCAATATCAGATACAGTGTTCCCTTGCTATTGTGCCTTTCAATAGAGCGCTAACTCGGTAATAGTGCGGGGTAATGCGTGGCTCCCACAATTTACTCACGTTTTTAATAAACTCAAGTTTTCCAATGACAATATTTTGCCCATATTAAAGAACATTATCAGCTGATCTCCGCGATTACGAAACACGGGAAATACCAGTCAACGAATACAAATTGAAGTACTCGATATGATCCCATCATTATACTATCTAGTTATAAAAAGGCGTTCATTGTTTATCTGGACTTTGTAATATATTTTATTAACATGCAGCGTAGATCGTATGAGGTAGACAGAACATGTATACTGTTTTATTGGTCATCTACCCCTTACTCCACCTCCAACAGCTGATCGTTTATAACGCCCATCAATTATTTGGACCGTTCATCGTCTATAACGCCCATCAATTATTTGGACCCCAAAGGTAGTGTTGTAGCTAGGGATCACTGTACATCCCAGCGGTGAAGCATGGCTTGGCATCACCTCACAAGCATTATATATGGTAATGATCACAGTTTATCGCAGTACAATGAAAAGGTCAACAGACAGAATCCTCTGACATCATATCGATAATGGGATTTAAGAGGAGCTGATTTGTTTGGCCCAGCACTGACTCAATCACATTCCCAACTTAAGTTTAATTTGCAAAATTTCAAATATTTTACCCACCTTATTCTTTCATGGTCATATTGAATTTGGAGCTTTTCATTTTTGTCAATTAAATTATTTTAAATTGATTAAACATTTTAATAATTATCAGCATGTTTGCTATGGAAAAACTGGCCCTGTGAAGTCAGGGTTATTCTCTCTCGCTAAACCTGGCATCTCTGACTTCCGCCACATGTCTGAAATCTCCCAAACAATAACACTGAATGTGTCCATTGCTGGCCTACCTTCCAACGGCAGGTTTGCTTTTAAATGATGGTGTTTACATGCAGGCAAAACAAGCATGTCAAACATTTAAACAATCTGGCTATCTAGATTACCTCAGTACCACAATACACCTGCGCTTCAACGTATCCTTTCAAACACTTAGACTTAAAAAATATAAGAATTCCAAACCTACAGCTCTAGTGGGGTCTAATCCCAGTAATGTGGTTGCCCAGTTCAGGTTTTTTTGCGATTACGAGGATTGCACACAAGATGGCAGGACAAGTAAATTTGTATTGTCATATTCAACAGTTCTGGCAGGAAAAAAGAATACCTTTTAGTTCACAAACACCAAAATTTTAATATGAACTGTTACATAGAATGTCAGATTGCCTTATTATGCATAATTCTTATGCTATTTTTATGTAAGCATGAAAAATATAATGAAAACATATTCACTTAAAAATAAAATAATTTTACTTTGGTTTCTATGATTCAGATAAAGATAAAGTCGGACATGTTTAAGAGATGAGTTATTCAGATTGCATATCAACGAAGAGCTCCAGGCTGTGGCTCTGGTTGTAACACAGTATCCGGAGCCAGGTCTACATGGACACAACTGAAAGTGAGTGCAGCGTTGCAGCCATGACTACAGTGACAGTGGTAATCCAGTCAGGTAGCAGCGTGTGGCTCCCTCCTCCCCTCCCAGACAGATGTTTACACATGTGCACCATGGAGGCATATTTATGTGCCGGCCATGCTGACATGTTTACACTCGGCATATCTGGCTCAGTCACAATCAGTCTAACAGGTAATGGAGTCAATTACTGTAGCACATCCCTCTCCAACACCTGCCTCCCTACCCCCTTCTCCCCCTCTGATATATAATGGAGTCAATGACTGTAGCACATCCCTCTCCAACACCTGCCTCCCTACCCCCTCTGATATATAATGGAGTCAATGACTGTAGCACATCCCTCTCCAACACCTCCTCTCTACCCTCTTCTCCCCCGTCTGATATATAATGGAGTCAATGACTGTAGCACATCCCTCTCCAACACCTGCCTCCCTACCCCCTTCTCCCCTCTGATATATAATGGAGTCAATGACTGTAGCACATCCCCCTCCAACACCTCCTCCCTACCCTCTTCTCCCCCGTCTGATATATAAGGGAGTCAATGTTTGTAGCACATCCCTCTCCAACACCTCCTTTCTATCCTCTTCTCGCCTGCCTTGCTAAGTAAAGGAGTCAATGATGGAAGGCCCTAAATAACATCCCTGCTTAACACCACTGACAACATCAATTCTCCTACTCCCATGTGTAAGAAGTAATAGAGTCACTGATGGAAACTCCACAACATCCCCTCTCAACACCACTGACACTATCAATCCTCCTACTCCCATGTGTAAGAAGTGTAAGAAGTAATAGAGTTACTGATGGAAACCCCTCAACATCCCCTCTCAACACCACTGACACAATCAATCCTCCTACTCCCAAGTGTAAGAAGTGTAAGAAGTAATAGAGTCACTGATGGAAACTCCACAACATCCCCTCTCAACACCACTGACACTATCAATCCTCCTACTCCCATGTGTAAGAAGTAATAGAGTCACTGATGGAAACCCCTCAACATCCCCTCTCAACACCACTGACACTATCAATCCTCCTACTCCCAAGTGTAAGAAGTGTAAGAAGTAATAGAGTCACTGATGGAAACCTCTCAACACCACTGACACTATCAATCCTCCTACTCCCAAGTGTAAGAAGTGTAAGAAGTAATAGAGTCACTGATGGAAACCTCTCAACACCACTGACACTATCAATCCTCCTACTCCCAAGTGTAAGAAGTGTAAGAAGTAATAGAGTCACTGATGGAAACCTCTCAACACCACTGACACTATCAATCCTCCTACTCCCAAGTGTAAGAAGTGTAAGAAGTAATAGAGTCACTGATGGAAACCCCTCAACATCCCCGCTCAACACCACTGACACTATCAATCCTCCTACTCCCATGTGTAAGAAGTGTAAGAAGTAATAGAGTCACTGATGGAAACCTCTCAACATCCTCAAACATTATCCTCCTTCAGCTCCCATCCTCTCCTACCCAGTCTATTCCTCATCATCCACTAAGTCACGCAGCTTACTTCCTCAAAACACTCAGATAAATGCTGATGATAGATTAACACGGTTATAGATAACGCTGGAGAAACATTTCATGACATGTGGTTGTAACATCAACACTCTATAATCAAATCTGCACAATTATCAAAATATCCATACCATCAGATTACAAGGTGCAATTTAAATAACTATACCAATATTGCTTGGTTGTTTTGTGGTTTTGTTGTTTTACGCCACACTCAGCAATATTCCAGCTATATGGCAGCGGTCTGTAAATAATCGAGTCTGGACAAGACAATCCAGTGATTGATATCATGAGCATCAATCCATGCAATTGGGATTGATGACATGCATCAACCAAGTCAGCAAGCCTGACCACCAGATCCCATTAGTTGCCTCTTACGACAAGCAAAGTCGCCTTGGGTTGCTGAAGACCTATTCTATCCCGGATCTTCACGGGTCTATATAAATATTGAAATATATAAGAGTAGTTAAAAAAACATGTATTATGTTTCTTCTAGAAAACAACACCAGAAACAGGATCCGAGGCAGCCATGAAGTCTCCTCATCCTTGATCCAATGCTGTGAAGTTGAGCACATGAACTGGCAAATAACACATGTTGTCTCAATTTTCATGTTTTTACTGAGCTCTAGCAGAACATATGCCAGGCATTGCAGGGTATCTGATCTGTTCATATTTTAGGACACTGACTGATTGTCAATCAAAATCGAAACATGGCAATGGTCTTGAAGAATTTCCTTTCAAGATTTAAAATAACCATGAAGATATCCTAATGCCATCTGTCTCTGAGAAAATCATTGGCATCACTACATATACAGTTGTACCTCATTGTGTCGAACTCGTTTGGAAAGTTTGAGTTATCTGGGGTTCAAAACAACCCCGAAATGAAGTTCCAAAAAGCAAATATCATGTTATGAGATATTATTACATGTAATCTAGTCATCTCTGGTTTCATACATGTTTCAATGTCGATAACCATGTTTAACAAATAATGAAATACATGTTTCATGTCTTATTGTTTCAAATATTGTTTTCATCCATTTGTAACATTAATTATACATGTAATTCATTTTGTACCCACAAACAATTCAATATCATTGCGTAACAGCTTCAAACAGGTCGCCACATTGAAAAGGTTAAAAAGATGGAATGGTAATACAAATGTCAACTATAAATATGGATTTATTTACAAGTGAAAAAGTGTGACATAACAGTTTGTCCTGCCTTTGGGCAGGGGAAGAAAGCAGCAACACTCAATTAGTCCCATAAACAAGTCCTGTAGCTAGATTGCTACTGTCTCTGCACGCTACAAATCTTGTGAGCATGTCTGGTGCTGCCAAGGCTGCTAGTAGCGAAGGGGCAGCAACTCAGGCAAATCATCAATGTCACTGTCATTGTCTGCATCAGCGGTGTTGGACTGGTGATGTCGGGCAGCAATCTGTTCGTCCTCAAAGGCAACATCAGAAATTGAGGCATAAGTACCCAGGTCACCTCCTGTGCTGGCAAAGTCAGCAAGGATCAAACCGCCACTGACGAGATGAAAGAGAGGCAGGTCGGTCATCTTCGGTGTCGCTGTCGATGGTGCAGTCATCTCTGTTGATGGTGTTATTAAACCAAGCATGTCTGTTTCAGATTGTTGTTGGGGAAACGCTTTCCTATGCAAGCATTATGAAACGAAGGGCTTCAAGGACAGATACAGTGGTTCTGTCTTTTATTAATTACCGTCAAATGTTTAGCAGTCACATGCGTACATTAATTAACTTTAGGTTTGGGATAATTCTCTGATCCATGGGTTGTGTTTTACTAGTGGCATTTGAGGGCAAGAAAACCAACACTGAATGTTACAGTGAGATCGCTGACATAGGGACAGGAGAGGCAATTGTCATTTACCATTGCAATTTCACAACCCTTACGTCCCACTTGCCTGTTGCGCTTGCAATACCAATTCCTTAAGATTTCTGACGTCCTCCATGCTTTTATGTTGGCGACTTCCTCGGTGAGAGTTTCTAAATTCTTTTAAAACAACGTGGATTTGCTGACTTGCCAACAGCGAACGGGTTGTTTATCTGTACCTGACATGTTAGAGGCAACTAACACAGTTATGCTCTCTTTGTTACACTTGCCAGACATTAGACGATAGACCAGACCCATCTTGTCAGCACTGTAGATGTCATCATCATGGTAGGATTTTAAGAGACTAGTCAAATTACTATTCCCCAGATACATGGCATCTATCTCAGTGTCTAGAGATGTGCTGACAAACCTAGAAACACAATCGGGGCGAACCGGGATTCGAACCCACAATCATGGGGTTCTGGCGTACCCAAGGGACGCAACTCTGAACACCGAGTCGCGGTGCCTTAGACGACTGGGAAAACCGGCAATTAATCAGTACACTGATATAGATACATATATTGTTACATAACCAATCTCATTAAAATCATAACTTAGTTCTCGCTAACATAAAACAAAGATCTGAGGACATCCCATTTGGGTCACGCCAGAGGGACCTTTCATCCAACCAATCAGAGCGTCACTTACCAGATCAAGAACGTAACAGTCGGAATGTATTTTCTAATCATGCAATCTCAAATAGGATAACACAGGGTATTCCGAATTACAGCTGTATGCATGAATCCATTAAAATCATTGTCTACCTCTTACTTCAATGGGATAAATAATTGAACAGATGTGACTTTCCAAAGTCCATGGGAAGTACAGCCATACAATATTGGCCATCTATCAGACATTCCAAAATGATCTTTGGTTCAGTTCTCAAATTTTGAATTGAGAACTTTGTCAAAATATTTTTCAAAGCACGGTCCAGAATGGAAGTTGCCAGTTTTAACTATTTCATTGGTCAGTTAAAAGGTTGCAAAAGGTCGTTTTGTTGTCGCCTGTAATGGGATGACATCAGATCCTTGTTTAGCAGTAGCAAGAACTAAGATATGATATTTATCAGATTGTTACATTACTAGCTGGATATAAATGCACATCTACAGAAAAGGTGGGTGGGTTGGGAATTCCAGGATTAGATCTTGTCATTCATGCCTTGCGGGTGGATGGTTTTCAGATCAAATATCCATTTGAGTTCAACAGATCGGCATCTAGCCATGCTCTGAACTGATTCTGGTCTGTTTTAAGCTGTAGCTGATTTGATAGTGTAGGTCTCTGGTTGAGTGTATTACAGAGTTTAAATGTTTTGCGACAGGTTTGTCCCTTTGATGGTTGATGTCAGCAAAGTGTTCTTTGAGTCTAATGCACATCTACAGTAATTTAGAGAATGAAATATGAGTGATAGACCTTATGATGGTCCTAAAGCCATTAATCATTCTCTCTTGTTTGATTGCTTCGCTAGAGGCCCTGTTGCTGCTATTACGCTGTACTTACGTTGATCTCAGCACTGGATATCTGAATACAGAAAGGATGGACAGCATCGTTGACAGTCTTGAACTCGCACTCTCCTAGTGGCACGATACCCTGCAATCACAACATGACACTAAGTTGGTGAGTTGGTGAGTATTGTTTTACGCCGCTTTTAGCAATATTCCAGCAATATCTCGGCGGGGGACACCAGAAATGGGCTTCACACATTGTACCCATGTCGGGAATCGAACCCGGGTCTTCGGCGTGACGAGCCAACGCCTTAACCACTAGGCTACCCGACCGCCCCCATGACACTAAGTACCACAGATACATGTCTCTCAAGGGGATTCCAGCTTAGAACAGGTCCCCAGCCACCTGTGCTAATCATAAGAGGTAACGTAATGGATTGGGTGGTCTGGATTCTTGACTTGGTTGATTACGTGTCGTTTCCTTGAGGTAAACGTTGCAATCACCAGGTTCTGTCTATTTTTGAGTCAACTATCAACTTTAACTCTTGAGGGTCATGGGCCCTGGTTCACAAAGCAATCATAATTAATTATCAATATTTCCTAAATCCTGACATTTCTGAGTGCCATGGCATCTACATTCACAGGGGACTATTGTCAAGGGCCTATTCGTGTTCTGTCAGGGTTTTGCTTTGCTGAGATCCTAATTTCTGAATCAAGGTAGTAAAGAAATAAAGCTGAAATGTTTTATAAAAGCCTGACATCTGATTGGCTCAGGAACCCACACTTCCTTCATTTCGACTGGCCAGTCAAAGTTAGTTCAGGGTTCACCTGGCGTGACCTCCTGTGCATGTATCCTGTGATCTAATCAGTATCATATCGGAATTAATGATCTGAATTTTATGAAAATGCATGTCAAATCTCCCTGAAATCATTTCCTCATATCAAATGGCTCTGATTCACCCTTCACCTACACAACAACATAACTATTTGGTTACTCATTTCCCTAAAACATGGAGCCAAGTTAGATATGCACAAACAAACGACCTCCCTGATGTCCAACAGTTCCTTCAAACATCTAGGTCACCAGCATCCACCTGAACAATTTATGAACACCCAGTTTAGGAGCAAAATGACTTAACACTCAAGTGTCTCAGCTCGACCAGAACCTGTTGAATAACTCATTTCATTTGATTTCTGATCCAATTCCATGCATTTAAAAGCCACATCCTTCCAAAACCAACACGTGAGCCCCAGCCTAGACCTCCGGGTAATCTGTGTTTTGGCAACAGGGAGACAAGCTAGAGGCTATAGATTAGGATGTATTGGGCACGGAAGTGGGAAGATGCAGAACTGGTTCCCCATTGATCAGAGTTGCAAGGTGTGAGGAGACTTGCACCCACACACACAATCAATGTCTTCACAGTCGGAATCCAGCGACTGCGTGTGTATTTCCTGGGCGATGAGCGGTGAGTCCAGGCAACACACCAGCAATGATTTGATCAAAATTAAATGGCTGACCTTTGGGTGGATGTTGAAGTATGTCCGCTTTGTGAACTCCTTCTTCTCATTGTCTGCATAGTACATGAGGAAGCCATCTTTGACTAGGAAAAATCTGAAAAAAATAAAATAAAATTGATTTACATGCTTTTAAGTAGGTCATGTTAAGGCCAAACAAGCCATATTAGAAATCGGCTCGTATGCAAAAGCAGGTTTCAATATGTCTGTGTTCAAGACAGTCACACTCTAAAGAAGCATACAAAAAATGTATTTACATGCTTTTTTCAAAATAAATACATGAGAAATGGGTTATTATTATTATTATTATTATTGTTGTTGATGTTATTGTTGTTGTTCTGATATCCAAATGTTTAACAAATGTGGAATAAAAGAAATTGCTTATGAACAGTATATTTTTCTTTCCAAGTCTATTTATGTTTATGTTCAGTAGGAAAACTATTCTTCAAAGTAGCAAGGAAAGTAACTATCTGAATTAGCATTCAAAGGAAACACTCCAAGCTGCACACAGCTTTGACTATATATTTGATCAATAGAGAACCTTTGTTAACATTTCAGCATGCAGAATCAATATCTCCAACAATATGTACATCTATATAATGTCCAAAGTTGAAGGCTTGATACCTATAGTACACCATGAAAGTGAATTTGCAACAGCAACCGGTTCATGTTTCTTACTTAAATCTAATGCACTTTATAATGTACAAAGCATGCAAAGAATGCAAAGACTGCACACTAAATAACGCAAAGGGAGATAATCCTCTACCACCAACAGCTGAACTAAATTGAAACCATATACCATATTTCCTCTATTAGACGCTCAGGTGTCTAAAATTTCCGCACCAGCCATTGACCCGGAGGTTATTAGAGTGAGTGACTGAGTTGGGTTTAACGCCGCTTTTAACATTATTCCAGTTATATCACAGCGTGTCAGCTTAATGTGGGAGGAAAGCCCGAAGGGATGCAGGTCTCAGACGTTTACCACTTCGGTGAAACCCACGAGCACGGGTATGGTGCTGACAAACCTAGAAACATAACTGGGATTCGAACCCACAATCATAGGTTTCAAATCGCGGCGCCTTAGACAACTGGGCCACCCGTGCCCCCCGGATGTTATTAGAGGCCCGGGTGAGTTTTCACTGTGCCACACTAGAAACCAGGACCCTGTTCCACAAAGTGATCTCAGCAAGATGATGGTCATAAGCCTTATGTTCTAGTATGGGAGTTAAGATCATGTTAGCGCTACGATCGCTTTGTGGAACAGGGCCCAGGTTTCTAGTCTGGCACAGTGAAAACTCACAACCGTACCAAATCTTAAATTCTACAGTCATACAAAGAATCAATTTGCAATCATCATTAATCACCAACATATAGTATAAGTATTAGAGACCTGGCATCTGATAAAGACCAGGTTTCTTTTTTCTGGACAGATCATATGACCAGGCGTCTATTAGAGGCCGGCAATTGTACTGTAGACTTGGGTTTGACAGAGGAAATATGGTAGAATATGATACCCCAAAATATAGCTTATTTAGGCATAACAGCCCATCCGTCCCCTTTCATCCTCCTCCTCCTCCTCATCATGTGTCAATATGTGACTCCCATCTGTCCCCGGCATGTTAATAGGTTGTTGTAATCAGCTGTAGGCTATTGTCTTACATACACTGAAAGCTTGTACATATCATATCATTACGTACATACAGGCATTAGGTTCACATGGCTGTAGTTAATTAAGATGGTGAACACATTCTCACAACAGCAATCACTGGCTGTGTGTGATGCAGAGATCACAATTCAATGAATATCAGGATGTACACAAATGTCAAGATTTCCTTTCTGACTGCATGGGACTGGTTAGACAACAAAATTCATAGCTGAAAACTTCAGTCAGTAGGTTGAAATATAAAGATCAAAGGCTTTTAATAGGATTTTTAAGTGGCTCCGATATTCAAATAATAATAATTAGAAGGCAAGGTGGTGAAAAATAAAAACATGTCTGGTCTCACTGGTTTTGTTCCTTTAAATATTAACTTTGACACGAGAATTATAAATTTCTCTTTTGATACTGTTTTCAAGTATTTGAAACAATGCAATCAAGACTGCGTTTCAGATGAGGCCAAATGGATGAGATTATTTTCATAATCAAAACAATCTGTCAATGTCATATAGACATGATAGAAAAAAATAAATAAGAATTGAAAGTTTTCTATTTTTTATTTTTAAGTTCAGTGGATCTGCAAACCAAGTAAAATATGTACAACCTTACAAACACTTTTTAGAAATTATTGTCAGTTTGATCTCACAGAAAGCAAGATTATTAACTCCAGAGTAAAATATATTTGATTGTCCTACAATGATCATTTTTCTCTGAATTTCATCACATATCACAAATAATTAAAGAATTATTAGCTAACAAGCTCTGAGTAAATATATATCATCTTTTCCACGTAACTGAATGGTGTATGCCTAGGCCCCTGTCAAGTCTTAGGCATTCATTCACCACTGTTCACACTGGTTAGATAATGCGCAATTCTGAGATCGAGTACAGATTCTTATATAGATCTTATTCATTGCTATTTGAAGTGAGAAAATGAAGACAAATATACAACCTGTATCCCTTACATAGAACCTCACTGAAGTCAACCTGTAGTTCTCATGATGTAGTGTGATCAACTCATGATTATGAACAATAAATAACGTCATATATTGTTTCATCATATCCTGTGAACTGACTAATCAGCACGGAGGATCACTAAAATGTACAACCTCTTCTACAGGTATGGCCAACAGTCACACAAAAGTCACCCCACTGATCAAAACTGAAGTAAGGGATAGTATGTGATTCAGATAATGTATATTTGTTTGTTTGTTTGTTGTTTAAAGCTGCACTCAGCAATATTCCAGCTACCAGGTATATGACCAGACAATCCACTGTGATTGACATCATGAGCATCGATCCACGCAACTGGGATATGATGACATGCATCAACCATGTCAGCGAGCCATCAGACTACCCGATCCCCTTAGGCACCTCTTACGACAAGCAGGGGTTGCTTCTGACTATAAAAGTCCACATGGTAAAGAAACTTACATGTTAATTTCTAGCACTGACACAAGTAACTTGACTGTTTGCATCATGATACAGCTACTGCACTAAGTTGGGTGCCTTGTATCATGATACAGCTCTGTACCACTGCACCACTAAAATGCCCAGGCAACAGTCATGACAGAAGGAAATGCATATGTCAAGTGTAATCAGTCAGTCATAATCGACGTAATAACCGCCCAGGGCTCTCTCAAAATTAGGAATAGGGGGCTCTTATTAGAATATTATTTTGGTGAAAAAAAACAGAGTTGAAAGATACATTTCATGGTTTATGCTTACAGCCTGAAATGTTTATGTACGACAGATATATTTTTCTGAAATTGAATTGCCCATAATTAAGGGTGCATATAACACACTAGTGAGTATTGTACGCAAATGAATAAGTCTTGTGAACATTTATCAATCGGAAGGGGTGCTAATTGGGATTGTTCACTAGCCAATATATTAGCAAATACTGCCGTGGGCACTTATTAGAGCGGGGCGCTTATTACGTCGAATACGGTAGTTTCACCATTCAGTCTACACTGGACTGAATCATGTTCATTCTGGAGTCAACGTGGGGCATCACTGGATTAACTTCATGAGTCCCTAGCTCACATACTACATAAAGTATCACACAAAATAGTCATCACAGAATCTGGACGACCTGCCTTGAACTTTGCAAACAAAGAGATGACAGGATCGAGGGAGGAATACACTTAACTAACTCAAAGACTTGTGGCAAGTGTCCGTCTCCTGACTCCAGTGTAGAGTGGGGTACAAGTTACAACTGGTCTTCATGAATGTCAAACGTATGAATGACTTCAGGTTTACATCACATCTGGTGCAGCCTGGCGTTCACCTGCAGTTGATTTGTCTATAGGCTCATATCATGTTTACACTATCTATCCTCTTATCTATCTACCTACCTATCTATCCTTTTATCTATCTACCCTTTTATCTTTTTACCTATCTATCCTTTTATCTATCTACCAACCTATCTATCCTTTTATCTATCTACCCTTTATCTATCTACCTATCTATCCTTTTATCTATCTATCTACCTATCTACCCTTTTATCTACCTATATATCCTTTTATCTATCTACCAACCTATCTATCCTTTTATCTATCTACCCTTTTATCTACCTATATATCCTTTTATCTATCTACCTATTTATCCTTTTATCTATCTATCTATCTATCTATCTATCTATCCTTTTATCTATCTACCATTTTATCTACCTATCTATCCTTTTATCTATCTACCAACCTATCTATCATTTTATCTATCTACCCTTTATCTATCTATCCACCTATCCTTTTATCTATCTACCCTTTTATCTACCTATATATCCTTTTATCTATCTACCAACTATCTATCCTTTTATCTATCTACCTATCTATCCTTTTATCTATCTATCTACCTATCTACCCTTTTATCTACCTATATATCCTTTTATCTATCTACCAACCTATCTATCCTTTTATCTATCTACCCTTTTATCTACCTATATATCCTTTTATCTATCTACCTATTTATCCTTTTATCTATCTATCTATCTACCTATCTATCCTTTTATCTATCTACCATTTTATCTACCTATCTATCCTTTTATCTATCTACCAACCTATCTATCATTTTATCTATCTACCCTTTATCTATCTACCTATCTATCCTTTTATCTATCTATCCACCTATCCTTTTATCTATCTACCCTTTTATCTACCTATATATCCTTTTATCTATCTACCAACTATTTATCCTTTTATCTATCTACCTATTTATCCTTTTATCTATCTACCAACCTACCTATCCTTTTATCTATCTACCCTTTTATCTATCTACCTATCTATCCTTTTATCTATCTACCAACCTATCTATCATTTTATCTATCTACCCTTTATCTATCTACCTATCTATCCTTTTATATATATATCTATCTACCTATCCTTTTATCTATCTACCCTTTTATCTACCTATATATCCTTTTATCTATCTACCAACTATCT